GCTCTTTGCCATAACCTTCAGAATTGCCGTACGCATTTGCCACTAATGGACTTTAGTGGAGCTTTTCTTTTTTTCAAAAGACGGACCGTCGACAAGCTTTTACATTAACCTAGAGGACTCAAGGAAAATCACTATGAGGGAAGCTGCGGTCGCTTCATCAGCTCTTTACGCCCCCGACATTGAAGATGATTTTGACGACGAGGTCGGACTCGAGGAGAGCGATGGAGAGGAGCACGAAGATGGGAAAATCGAAGAAGTGAAGACGGCGAGTTTCCTGAATTAGACGAGATTCGCTTATCTGCATTAACTATAAAGTTGCGGGAGATTGGACGAGGAAGAGGTTCACATTTCCGGACACAACTTTCGATGAAGCTAATTCTAAAGGGGAAAATGATATCTCAGTGCCTTTTACGTACTTTTTCAATACTTTCTCAATTTCGTGTTCGATGAAATGATGGAGAATACCAACATGTATTCAATACGTACAAGTGGTATATGCATCGACGCATCAGTTCAAGAAATGAAGAAGATTATCGGAGCACATATCCCGATGGAAGTCGTTCAATACCTTAGACTACGAATGTAATGGTCACCAGCCACAAGAATTCTATCTTTCGACAAATGAATCTTCCGCGTACCCGTTTCTTGTCCTTACGCAATAATCTTCGTATTGTTGGCGTATGCCGACCACGATCAGCGAGATAAACTATGGAAAGTTTGTCTCATAATTAGATCATTTGAGATTCGTTGCGAACAACCGGAATTAGAAGAAAACCTCTGCATAGACGAACCAATCCTACTTTCACAGGGCAGCTTCGGCGCTATTCGGCTATCCGGGCCCCAAAATTTTTGTCATGGATTCGCTCAAACTTGGCTCGAGGGGGTTATCTGACATGCTGATCACAAATATCACCTTCTCTCCGCAGGAAAACGCCTCCCTGCAGGGTTACGGTAGGTATACGGTAGAGGGTCACAATCATAGATTTATCTGAAACTTGGCCCCAGAGGGTATTCGGGCCGCTGATGCTGAATATCACATTGGTTTTGTACCGTAGCGTCACTTTCTCGGGTTACGGTGGGTATAGGTAGGGGACCAAAATCTCAAAATCTGCCGTAACTTCGCACAGACGGGTTGTTCGACATGCTGATTAGAGCTGTCACACTTTCCACACGAAAACGTCTCCCTGCATAGTTACGGTAGGTTTACGGTAAGGGGTCAAACTCATACGGCAAATGTATCTTTCCCCTGTACTTTGCTTAGGCAAAAGCCGCAGCAGGGTGTGTAGCGCGCGGCGGTGGTCGTGTGTGCAAAGCTTCACGATCATCCGAATCGCCGTACACCCATTTCAGGCAGAACTATGTTTTACACCCGTTACCGTGTAGCTACCGTGATCCGAGAAAATGACGCTACGGTTCAAAACCAATATGCTTTTTGGCATCAACGGCCCGAATAATTCCTGTGGGCCAAGTTTCGGGCAAATCTATGATTTTGACCCTCTACCGTATGCCTACCGTAACCCTGCAGGGAGGCGTTTTCCTGTGGAGAAAAGGTGATATTCGTGATCAGCATGTCAGATACCCCCTCTGGGCCGAGTTTGGGCGAAATCCACGACAAAAAAATTTTGGGGCCCGTATAGCCGAATAGCGCCGCAGCTACTCATTGAACAATATAAGGCTAGCCGAACCCGTAGGGAGTCAAAGTATTTATGCCTTGCGTTGCGCATAATCTACCGTTCGGTTGGTCAAGGCTCAACTACACTTCCTGAAGGTCTGATTGAAGGATATTCTGCTTCAAATGGACTGGTCATTCATCTATCAAAGCGAATTCCAAACACCGTGGCCACAAGGTATTTTGTGACAGCCTTCTTATCATTGCTTCTATAACGCGAACTGTTGGAGTGAGAACTCTTCAGCGTGAGAGTAATACGAAATAGCAGATTGCAAAAGTGCCCCTGAATTTGGAAAAGAAGCCAAAAAACTCGGCCGCAGTTTTGACTTTCTCGTCACCGAAGAAGGTGGTAAACGTCGCATCAAACTTCGTGGGAATTGATCCGCAAGATGAGGTGAAATGTGATAGGAAAGCCGGTAAATACAGAAATCATTCCTCATACGGTATTACAACAGTCCCCTGGGAGGTGTATCGTACGAAGAAATGAACATCACGCGTCATATTCAATTATTTTAAATTAACAGTATGCAACTCATGGCTAGAGTATCAGCGTGACTTGAAAGGGAAGGGCGAAATCGGGAAAGATTTGCTACATTTCGCTGTGGAAGTTGCCGAAGGCTTAGCGTTCACTGGTTACGCAAATGCACAAAAACGAGAAAAACCGCTGTCCAACTCTCCGAATATCATGGATACCGTTAACGCTTGAAGCCCAGCAAGCCCAGCTTGAGAAAATGACATCAGATATGACAACGTCGGACAATGGCCGATACATGAAGATGGTAACAACAACGACGTAAACTAGAATTATGTGAGGGACGTTCATGAACGCAGTGCGAAAAATGTAACGTTCATTTTTGCCTGACAAAACAGAGAAATTGCTTCAAAAGTTTCCATTGTAAATAAGTAAGGTGTAATACAAGTGGTACCATTGAAGCCTGTTGGTGGCGAATGCCAGCACTTTGTGTTTTCTTGCTATGGTCGAAAACTTTCCAAACTTATCTGAAGTGTCACTTATGTGCCCATGAGTAAGAATCAATATGAAAAGTTTTTCTCAAGGGCAAAATTCAAATCCGAAAGGGCTAACTTTTGCCTTTGTTTTAGACAAAACGCCGTTACGATATCGATTCAAGTAGATTTGTTGGTGTAAATATGTGTCTTAGTGTCTCTACCGTGATTTTTCGGTAAAGTTTGCATGAGAGCAACCAGCTACGCCGAAATGACGGTATTTGGGTGGAGGACTATATGTCGCCGAAGAAGGGCGGTCCCCTCGGTCATTTGCGACAAATACGCACCCTTGAACATGCGCGGACATGCGTTCCTGCAGGGGGTCCGCGCAGGACTCTTTCAAATTCGGCGACATATAGTCCTCCACCCACGGTATTTTGCACGCATACGGGCATTTCAGGCGTACCTATTTGTTCGCGCGCAAACTTTACTGCAAAATCTTGGTAAGACAAAGACACTATATTTACCCTAAAATCTTACAGATAAGTCCGTTTTTTGACGAGAAAATCGATGAAAATGCACCCTCGCACCGCCAAGAATCTTGCAGATAAGTCTGACGACTGTCAGATAAGTCCGTTTACAGATAAGTCGGGACTTATCTGACAGTCTTCAGACTTATCTGACAAGATTTTAGGGTACTAGTTATAATAGAAGAAAAACGGACTTATCTGTAGGCGGACTAATCTGAAGGGCTTTAACTGAGTCAAAAGAGTGGACCTATCTGAAGGCTGACTTATCTGTAGAAGGACTTATCCGATGGGAGGATTTATCTGTGAGATTTTAGGATACCAACAAATCTACTCGAATTTTTATTGTAACGCTTTTGTAAGACGAGGGCACAAAGTCAGATTGAAATAAGAAGTCTTTTTTTAATTACTTCTGTAGAAGCAGACTTTATCGCAAAATCTTAGAACATACAGCGTGTCTGCATTACATTAGAGCCTGTGAAACTCGAGAGTTGCGTCTTGCATTCATACTAGACACAAATGCAGAAAACAAAAAGCAAAATTCTACAAGGATGTGGTTTCTAGGTAAAAATAAGTGAAACTATGCTCGATTGGATAGAAACCTAAATAGTCCATAACTAGAGGCGAATAATAAAGCAACAATAGGATAGGGACTTCATGAGTGTTAGAAGTGAATGCTGACGCCAGATATGAATGATACAAAGATTTCTGCATTTTGTCCAAACAGAAACTAACGTTGGTTAGACAGTTTTGGAGTTTAGCGCGAAATGAACGAGACGCGACCAAAACCAGATGAACTCGTGAATCGTATGATAAAGAGCAGAAAAACGAATTCAAAAAAATGGTCAATGTAACTTAATACAATGTTTCATTCACGATAGAAAAGGACAACACGATATTTTTATCCTGTAATCTGCTATGGGTATGACTCCAACAATGCACATGATGAATGGCATTTTACAATTGGTCGTTTAAATCTCAATTACTGGATTCAATCGATGTAAAAATTACACTCCATTGTTTAACTGTTTTGTTAACAAATACTGAATGTCGCGAAGTGCATAACAAGTTCAAAATGTAAATTGGATACTTTCATAGAAAACTTCAAACAATTACTACCATTTTTTAGCATTTTGAGATCATTTTCAAAAGCGCTTTTACGACTAGTTGATTACCACTACAGTTACAACTCAAGAGCATTCCGGGCTTTGTGCTGGATAATATTCTAACAATAAGGGTGCCCACAATGATGACTAAAAATCGCGTTTGTCTAAACTACATAGCAACACTTTTGGGAAAAAAAGGTAGATACAGGAATGCAGCACTGAGAGTAAAACTTCTCATTAACCGTTCTTTCTTTTTTTCGCGACCTTTATGAACAAAATCATCGCGAGAAATTCTTTATACGAAGAAAAACAAATTTGAAGAAGTTAGTCTTGCCAACCATCAATTCTGTCTCATATAGATCACAAGAAAAGTGAATGTGTGACACGGTTTAGAATAAAGTGCCAAAATTACGTTCGGCAAATTCTGTTAGACAGGAAGGGTTATTAGATCAGCGTATAATAACTTAATTCGTGTAATATGCTTTCGATGATAAATTATCATCACTATAACATCATGACCGAAAGAACTATCCTTGAAAGAAACCTGATATCGCTGCGGGTTCCACACCACCACGGTAACGGTCGCCGTAAACGATACGGTCCGGGCGCGTATAAAAACATTGCGAGCCGTGGTTTGGCAGGTCCCCAACCAAAATGGATCTCGAACAACGCATCAAAGCTTATCGCTTCGTCGCCTATTCAGCCGCCACCTTTTCCGTGGTTGCGGTATTCTCTGTATGTCTTACGCTGCCCATGGTACACAACTATGTCAGTCATGTGAAGCGTCAGATCAACACCGACATCAGCTTCTGTCGCGGTTCGGCCAAAGACATTTGGTCTGAAGTGAACGACTTGGCCAAGTTGCCAGCTTCGAACAGGACGGCACGTGCAGCTGGTTACGACGCTGGAATTTCCGGAGGTGGCAGTACCGGCGGAGGTGGTACCACTGGTGGTGGCAGCAGTGGTGGAGGAGGCAACGGAGGAGGTTGCTCAGGCTGCTGCTTGCCCGGAGCCCCCGGTCCTGCTGGCACACCCGGTAAGCCAGGTCGCCCAGGAAAGCCTGGAGCTCCAGGAACACCTGGCAACCCAGGACGTCCTCCACAGATGCCATGCGAGCCTCTCACACCCCCACCATGCAGACCTTGCCCAGCTGGACCACCAGGAGAACCAGGACCACAGGGAGAGCCAGGAGATCCAGGAGCAGACGGACAGCCAGGACGACCCGGCAACGATGGTGGACCTGGACAACCTGGACCTAAAGGACCACCCGGACCCGACGGAAATCCGGGAGCTCCTGGAGAGCCCGGACAGCCAGGCCAGGATGCCGTCTCAGAACCACTTGTTCCTGGAGAGCCCGGACCCGCAGGAGAGCCTGGACCGCAAGGACCTCCTGGAGCTCCAGGACTGCCCGGACAAGATGGACAACCAGGTTTGTTTACAGGAAGTGTATAAAAAGTTTCAATTTTAAATCGTTGCGTTTAGGACAACCCGGACCCAAAGGACCTCCTGGACCTGATGGTGAACCTGGCGCGGATGGAAATCCTGGAACACCTGGAGACGCAGGACCTCCAGGAAATGGTGGAGAAAGGGGTATCTGTCCCAAATACTGCGCTATCGATGGAGGAGTCTTTTTCGAGGATGGCAGTCGGCGCTAAAAATACTCACCGCCAACGAACATATGTATTTTGTACAGCAGCATACAAAATAAAAATCCTATTATCTTCTTTTTCTTAATCGCAGTATCAAAGCGGACTACGAAAACTCAAATTCAGCCGCAAAAAACTACGGAACATCCGCTAACGAAGTTTCGCGCACTTTTTGTCTTTATAATGATGAGATCGGATGAGATAGTTAGCGCGATATATTCGCCGTATCCTATAACTAGAAAACTTGCTATGGAGTAGAAGATCGATTATGAAAAGTGTATTGGGTTCAGAGCAGAGAACCAACAGATAAATCTGTAAACGAATGGAAAGTGCAAACACGTGGATTTGAAAATATCTATACAGCTGAACAGAAGGTGGCTCATATGAGCGGAAATAATGTTTCTGAGTTTTTCTATTACTTCACACTCACGTGCCACAAAGAGCTTAATATCTCCTAGCAATAATTTGATGAGACTTATTACGCAATATTTTTGTACAAAGGACAAAAGAATTCTGAAGCGAAAAAAAGTTTAGGAACCAGGCACCAATGGTGTACCGAGGGGACGCCCCCCACCCCCAACCGAAAAAGGGTTGCGAAATTTTTTGAAGTTACATGTGTTGTAAAAATGCGCAAGCGACTTGTTTTTACTTGTGAATAATCAAAATAAATTTTCACATTTTTTTAATAATTTGACATAGCCTTGTTAAAAAAATTTTCTCGGAAATTTCGGGATCAAAAATTCTGAGACGTAGTCCAAGAAAATTTTCGGAGCACATGGCTAACGCCACTCACCTTCAACCGAAAGAATTTTTGTCGCCCCCTTCCCCCCTAAACGATCCCAATCCTAGTTACGCCACTGCCTGACACGGCATGAAAAACGCAAATTCTCCTTAATTCTTGCCACCTTCAATAAATGGGTTTTATACTTGAAATCTTACTCACCTTCCTGTACAGAACTCTCATTGCTTGTTATGGGATTACCTGCAGACATTTGCGAATTTCAGCAATTTCTTGCTGCAGAATCAAGCGAATGGCAGGACACAATGTTAGCTGACCCTTTTGCCGGACCAGACGAGCAAAGAGTGAACAAATGGTGTGTAACTAGCGCAATCGTAAACAACCAGCATTGCCTGAATGGACGCCTTTTCCCTCATGCTTTTTGTTCCCGTTGAGCTATCGGGTCAAATGATTCCCTATTTTTACATGCAACTATAATTAGATACCAATTGGGAACGATGTGTTCACCTATCTATTAATTTCACAATGTTTGATTTTTCCGCTCATCTGAGCGTTTCGTTAGATGAACAGCGTTTTGAATCAGGTGTTAATTACTTCAGATCTAAATCATTTTTCAATGAAAATGATATTTTGAGCCTTTCGGACAAAAGCGGACATAATAGGGCAATTGCACCCAAACGTTGAGCTTTTCAGCATTTCTTTTGCATCAATTTACTAAATTGTCGGATAATTTCTGTTACATTTTTTTCTATTTGTTCTGAAATGTTCCATTCACTTGAATCTCCAAATTTCTCATATTTAGGATATATCAAGGTCTGCCCACCAGTATGTTCGATGCCGTAAATGCACAAGTAATTAACAAATTTACGACAGTTCTGCAAATACCTTCTAAATTCAATTTTCTCTCCGATTCTTTTCTTCTGCATCTACTTGTGCTTTTCTTCTGAAACTTTTTTAGAATGCATTTTGACACTCTTTCTCCTGTGACGGCGCTCCGGTGCCTCTAGCGTTTTAAAAATAAGGGTGGAAAAAAATTAGAAAAAAAATTAGAAAAAAACAGACCGTGCACGAATCACGTATGTGACAGTACCTATGGTGAACTCTTGCATCCTCCTCCCCCCCCCCCTAAATATCAGTGTCGGATCGAGGGGGGGGGAGGGCGTAGTTATACAAATCTGCAGGCTTCTACATGTTTTTCAATATTAAAACAATTTTTTGGAAAAATTTTTTGTCATTTTAGCTTTGTAGAAAATCTTTTTTTTTGGGGTCGGAATCATGGGCGAAAATACTTGGGAAGCTCCCCAAACATTTTTGAAATACTTGGCGACGCCACTCACTTTCATTCGAAAAAATTACGCTCTCCTCCTCCCTTCCCCCCTTCTCCAGAACGGAAGTTTTCGGACCTTCTTTGGTAATTGTGTATTGAACACAAAAATATTCAAGAGCTTCTGAGATTTTTAAGAATTAAAATTGGAAGTGTAATATAAATTATCCGCCAATCTAATACATGTGCACTTGCGCTGTTAATCATGAACTCAAATAACGAACTGTAATAACTGCACCACACACAATTGTTCAAACTTTGGCTGCGTTACTGATCCCGAGGTCCGGGAACAGTTCCAGCACAGCGCTCATTTCAAGCTGCGTTAGAACTGTTCCCGAACTTCTGGATCACTATGAATGCAGCCTTTATTACACGATTTCGCATTTCCGCACTTTTTTCCGCAACTTATTAGACCAGCTTTTTGCTAGCCCAAAAATGTATATATCGTCCATTTATTTGTAACTAATATGCGTATTGCACACCGTGCGCATTATTTGACAAACTTTAAGACTGGAAGAGAATCCACAAAACTCCATAGAATAAGTCGGACAGTTTTTTACGAGATAAACTGAGTACAAAAACGACACATGAAGTTGAAACAGAATACAACAACCATTGATGCGAAAAACAAAAACTAAATAAAGAATAGAAATATTGTAGGACGATAGAGTCATCTCACTTTTCACTATGATATCATTAGATTACGCGATCTTCGGTATTCTATGAGGTGAGGGCAGAAAGTAGTAGATGAAGAGTACCTGAACAGTTGAGGATCTGGAACATTCTACAAATCTGCACGCGGCAGATGAAGAGCCACTTTATGTTGTAAGATCGAGTTTTATTAACGCAAATCTTGAAACTGTGACTACTCCTACAGTTTGTACGATATGTAGATGAAGATATCGTAGAAATGATCCAGTTCATTTGTTGTATGTTTGCAGATGAATCCGAAGTCGGCAATAAGTGTTCTATCCCCGAAAGTAAATGCTTGGAGTTTTTTTATCAGCTTGGCGAGTTATTATAGCCCAAAAATATTCTTAATGCTGTTTGCTGCTCTTCCTTCCACGTTTTTTTGGAGAAATTTTTGAACATTTTATTTCAAAGCCTTGAAGCTTTTGAAGGCTTGTCCATCGATACGTGGACAGATAGACTTTGCATGTAAGAGATGTAGGAAGAAAAGCAACTAATGGAGTCTGTATCCAGATTGTCGATGCTTATGAAATCAGTATAAGATAAGATTACAGAAACAGCTCAGTGTGATATGATTACTGTAAATACAACACCGCTCGTAGTTTGTAAAAAAAAATCATAGCACTCGAGTTCGCCGCACTTTGCATCGCCATATCTTGCTTCGGAGTGCACAAATTTCTCAATCCAAAAGCACCATTCAATTCAGCTCGACGAGGCGCGTTTGAAGAAGTCCTTGTTTGTACACGATATTAGGTCAAATTTGGAGGATTATTCCCGAATTCTTGCTCAGTAGCTTACTCAGAGTGTTGAATCATTGCACAACTACCAATCTATCGAAGCAAAAATTAGGGTCTTTGAAATTTGACCGACTATCGTGCCCAAACAGACAGTACCATACATCAAACCTGTATCCCGTCGAGCTGAGTTGAGTGGTGCTTTTGGATTGAGAATCGTCCACTCTGAAGCAGAATATGGCGACAAACAAAGTACGGCGAACTCCGGCGAAGTGCGGTGATTTTTCGTAAATTACGAGTGATATCGTTGTAAACGATTACATTAGCAAAATTACGTTTTTTTATGATTTGACGGAGAGTTTTGAATTTTTTGTCAGCCAAGCGAGCCAGTAGATATAGTCGATTCGTTGACCGCACGGACTGAACATCGCTGCGGAGCACGCGCCGCGTGGTAAACTGCTTGGTATAGATAAGTTCCCGAATCGCCACATCGACTAAGCGAACTTTGCTTGTTAGTGTCCATCTGTCGTCTGTTCTTCTCATGATGTGACCGGCCCATCGATGTTCCGCTTTCGCAACGTATTCCGCAGGGTCACGAAGACGGGACATTTTTCTTAAATCGTACTGCGAAGTCCGACGAGGTGTTGTTTGTGTCGGCTCATCTTCAGAAGACTGCGTTCGAGCGCTCTGTGTTGGTCCGTAAAGCTTCGAGTGGCTACAGTGTCGGCCTAAGTCTCAGCTGCGTAACAGAGCGTCGGGGGAACGGTTGAGTCGAACAGGTGGGCACGAAGCTCCGGGTCCGTCAGTTTGTCGGTGCCTTCCTTCAGAGGCCCGAAGGCGGCCCAGGCTGCTCCTCTTCTCCTGTTAATTTCTTCCCTCAAGTCGTTCTCCATGTTCATCGAACGTCTGAGATATACGTAAGAAGACGTCTCCATGATAGGGGTGCCTTTCACCATTTCTGCATCTTCGCAAAGGACGTTCCTCATGAACTGAGTCTTCTTATTCCAATCCAATCTTCTTCCCTACTTCGTTTAGTTCCTTCAGCATCGTCTCTGCTTCAGTGATACTCCTCGAGAGGAGAACGATGTCGTCCGCAAAACGAAGGTTGGACATCAATCTCCCATCAACTCGTATGCCTCTCTCGTCCCAGTCCAGTTATTTCATCACCCACTGCAAGGCCGCGGTGAACGCTTCGGCGAGATTGTGGCCTTTTCGGACCCCCTTCCCAATTGGTATGGTCAAGGGGCGATGGAACAACTGCATCGTTGTAATACAGCCCTTGTAGCAGTCTAACGTCTTCAGGTAAGCTGGGTCCACTCCTTGATCGACTAGCGCAGACAGGATGGCGTTGGTTTCGACGCTGTCAAAGGCTTTCTCGTAGTGGACGAAGGTTAGGACGAGAGGCAGTCGGTACTCCCGCCACACTTCTAAAATCCTCGAAACCGTCTGGATGTGATCCACGCAGCTGAATCGTTTGCGAAATCCATCTTGCTCTTGAAGTTGGGCTTCATCCAGTGTCCTAGATATGCGAGCGAGGATAATCTTCGTGAAAAGCTTGTACTTATAGCTTGTAGTTGATATATTGGCCTGATAAAATCGCTTATATTTCCTGACCCAAAATAACCAGAAAAAATCGAGGTGTAATTCGATACTCCCCTCATCCTTTGAATTGTATGTAGTGTGTTAGAGTATTTCGTTTCCAAAGCTCACTTAAAGGCACCGTAAACCCAAAGTGGGGGTTCAGATTCGAGGGCATACTAATGTGGGCCCCCATACCAGGCCAACGCCCAAGTTTCCCCGCAAGAGATTGCTTCCAAAGCGAGAAGTCCGCTCCGGAAGGGACGTTTTCCGGAGCTGGTCACTCCACCAAGCTGGTCACTCCGCCCATTTTACAGGTTTGGCGGGCTGCGCGCTGATATATGTCGGGCATATAACGCACCGCAGCCATGCGACTTCCACCTGCATCGTCCGCCAGTTCCTCCAAAACGGGGATTTATGGGGGTTTCGTGATTGTTCGACTCCATATTGGAGATCAGGGCCTTCAGAAGGCCTGTAAGCGACCAAAACATGGAACTTGAGAATTTGGGTGTACCGTGGTTTTAACACCTTCACCTTATAAGAATGGGAGTAGCCGAGACCCCTTTCACCTGAAGGGGGCCCGATTCCTTCTATCGCACCTATGATCGCGCTAGCGCGCTCCACGGCTGACGAGTCCATGAGTTTGCTGCTTATCGGTTCGAAGCACGTGTTCCACATACCTTGTAACGACATCTGCTTGAATATCCATAGGGGGTCCAGTCATATTCAAGAGAGAGCGGACATGGCGGCGAGGCCGCCGCGAGACGTTTACGCTTGCGAATTCAAACGCTCACTCTGCCGTTACTGGTCCCCTTCGCGGATTACCGCTCCTTTCGCATCTGCAGTTGCATGCCGATTGAGAGCAGTGTGCGGACAAAGTTGGGCGTTTTGGGAATTTAGTGCTATGCAAACGTGGGACCCCGGATACGCCATCGCTCAAGTACGAGGTCGTAACGGCTTCCTAGAAGCAAGAAATGAGGTCAGAAAGGCCTCCCCGAGAGAACGCTTCACATACTTCTGATCAACAAGTTCATGAGTGCGTTCTAACATTTGGGATAATTTACTATTAAGTTCGTGGAAGAACATATTCTTTCACGAACCTAATAGT